CGCAGCAGACTGACGATAAATGGATCCACTCTTACCTGGTTCACTGTCTTAGCTTCTGCCAACTGTAGACAAACATTTTCCATTTGCTCACTGGCCATAGATCAGTGGGTAGAAAACATGGGGAACAATGGCCAGAAAAGGTCATCTTTAGACCTTTGCCCACATACTTTTGTATTATATTAACACAGTTAGTTATATGTGCAGATAAAGGCTTTAGTTAGAAAATGTTTGAACCAATATCAATATCTGAACCACTGCTCAGTATTTAATATCATGAAAAGCAGAAAGACTTTAACTGACTCTTCAATTCTAATTTCCAACAGACATAAAGTTGATCCTCACCATGAGTGTTTTTGAGCCTTTCCACCAGGAAATGGGCTTCCTCTAGGATTCGCTCTTCAGAGCTCTTTTTCCCCATCCCAAAATTCCTCAAAGTGGTGAGGGTAAATCGGCGTAGCTCCTTCCACGGCCCCACACTGTTCATAGGAATACCTGAAAAAGGGAAGAGAATGGGAAAGAAAGGAGGGAAGGCCCTGCCCCTCTAGCTTCTGCTCCTGCTGCACCCACAAGCCAGCCAGAGACCTCTGCGTAATCACGGGTGCTCTTTATTTACAGTTTACTTTCCCACCACCTTGTAGCTACAAACAGCTTCAGTCTTGCAGCCAGCAGCGATGAGCTTCCACTCCCTCTATTCTCTGGCTCCTCCCCTTTTCTTCTCCCCTTGGCTTCCTTCCTGCCAGCCTTTATGTTGCCCCTAGCTAACGAGGCCGGCAGCTGTTCCCCGTTTGCCACTCAGGCCTGGGCTTACTCAGCCCGTTCCAATTCCCCTTTCTTGATTGGAGCGGGTATGACAGAGGCCTGGCTCAGAGTTTTTTAGCCAGTACCCTGTCACAATTAACATGTCCAGTACCTGTAGTTTGTTCTCTAACAGAGCGTGGCCCATCACAGTAATGAGGATTCTTCCAGTCACAGTAAGTAGAGCAAAGTATATGTACTGGCACAAACTAAAAATTAGAAGTAAACTGGGAAACACATTAATTTGCCAAATTTTAACCATTTAGGCTAAAAATTTTCTGTCTGTGTGCCTCAGGTTGAACGTTTTTTGAATATTTCAGCCAAAGTGTTCAGCCATTTCCATGAACAAAGTTAAGGGAAAATATGTTGTTCTACCCATGTTAAAAAATGCTGGGACCTTTTCTTTGAGAAACTCTAGCACTCCCATTTGGGAGCTGGGATTTGAAATTTGGCTAGGGGCTGACCTTTGTGTCAATGTGTGACTTTGCCATTCCCATGAAAATCTACCCAAATGTCACTAAATTATAAGCCCTTGAAAAATCTCATTTCACACATTGTCAGTGGAGATTTAAGGTATATCTACACTAGGAAATTAGGTCGAATTTATAGAAGTCAATTTTTTAGGAAGCGATTTTATACAGTTGATTGTGTGTGTCCCCACTTAAGACAATTAAAACCATTAAGTTGGCGGAGTGCGTCCACAGTACCGTGGCTAGCATCGACTTTCGGAGTGGTGCACTGTGGATAGCTATCCCACAGTTCCCGCAGTCCCCACTGCCCATTGGAATTCTGGGTTGAGCTCCCAATGCCTGATGGGGCCAAAAATTTGTCGCGGGTGGTTTTGGGTAAATGTCGTCAGTCAACCCTCCCTCCCTCTGTGAAAACAATGGCAGCCAATCCTTTTGCGGCTTTTTTCCTGGGTGAACCGTGCAGACGCCATAGCACTGCAAGCGGGAGCCCGCTCAGCTCTCCGTCATCACTGCTGTTGCAGGCAAGTCTAAAGGGTAGTGACTCTGGGACATGTGCGGGCCTGTTTAGATTTTAGGCACATCATATTCCTCTCCTTTGTCGCTGGAGAAGAAGTCTTGCAGCCGTTCTCATCAGTAGGACTTGTAGCCATTGGAACAGCAATGGCGTTTTGCTCACTCCGCCACTTCCGCTGCAACTCTGCCATCCCAAGCTCTTGCAATCCAGCAGCAGATTGTGCAGTATGACTGAAAGCCATTGTCATATGTATGACTTTTAGCCGTCCTCGGAGCAGCAATGCAATGTTGTTTTGCTCGCTCCGCCACTTCCGCTGCAACTCTGCCATCCTGATGTCCAGCAACCTGGCTGCTCTCCCACCCAGCAGCACTGTGCGGTCGCACCTACCCCAGCCTACCCTGTGCTCCCATAGCTCATGAACCCTGGACAGTAGTAAGGAGCAGTTGAACTATAGTCTTAGCAAGTGCAGAATGGTGGTGCAATGTGCCTTTGGATGTTTACAAGCTCACTGCCACTGTTGATCAGACCTCAGCGCAACTAGCATTTGCATTGTTATTGCTGCTTGCTGTGTGCTACATAATATCTGTGAGAGTAACGGGGAGACGTTTATGGCGAGGTGGGAGGTTGATACAAATCGCCTGGTGTCCGATTTTGAGCGGACAGACACCAGGGCGATTAGAAGAGCACAGCAAGGTGCACTGTGCATCACAGAGACTTTGGCCTGGTCTACACTACGGGTTTAGGTCGACTTTAGCAGCGTTAAATCGAATTAAGCCTGGACACGTCCACACGACGAAGCCCTTTCTTTCAACTTAAAGGGTCCTTTAAACCGGTTTCTTTACACCACCTTCGACGAGGGGATTAGCGATAAAATCAGCCTTTGCGGGTCGGAATTGGGGTAGTGTGGACGGAATTCGATGTTATTGGCCTCCGGGAGCTATCCCACAGTGCTTCATTGTGACCGCTCTGGACAGCACTCTCAACTCAGATGCACTGACCAGGTAGACAGGAAAAGACCCGCGAACGTTTGAATTTCATTTCCTGTTTGCTCAGCGTGGAGAGCACAGGTAACCACACAGAGCTCATCAGCACAGGTAACCATGATGGAGTCCCAGGATCGCAAAAGAGCTCCAGCATGGACCGAACGGGAGGTACGGGATCTGCTCGCCATATGCGGAGATGAATCAGTGCTAGCTGAACTCCGTAGCAGTAAAAGAAATGTATTAGAAAAGGTCTCCAAGGCCATGAAGGACCGAG